AGTTTTCGAAATATGCGTCGTTTCTTTTGCGGTTCAGTATATTATACTTAGCTTTTTGTCCAACAGGAGTTTTAAGGTAAAGCCCTACAGCATGAAAACAAGTTCATTTTAATTTTTCTTTTTCTTAAAGAAAAATTTAGATCCTCGACGAGAATAAACTATTTTATTCTTAACTCGTTTTTAATTAGGAAGTCATTAGATGAAAATGGACCATTACAAAAGGCGTGTTCCTGGATCTATATTCTAGATTGATTGAACATTAAAACACTAAAACAAACTTCACGGACTTTACAAGACTACACTTAGTAATTTTTTTTCGAAGTAACTTCTATAATTTTATTGTTAATGACACTAAACAACTAAGAGATTCAGAGGTTTGAATTTTGCTTTACCACCAAAGAACCTTAAAATTCTAATGATGCTCTCATTCTGAATGAGGACAATTAAGTCAACAAAATATATGGTATTTAAAATTACATAAGTATGTTTTAAAAACCGTGTTTTTACCCAACTACACGTGCTACACTTGTTATATTAGTTCATTAAAGAAGTATGGTACTATCCATGACAATATTTTAGAAAAACTGAGGCTTCCAGACTGACATTCTGGCCTAATATATGGTTTATTTAAAACCCACTAAGAAGGTACTTCACTCAGACCTATTGTCTTAAACATAGGAATATGTATTTAAAATCTGGCAAGTATTTTAAACAATTTTCTTTTCGACTTCACTTTCACAGAGCACACTCTTAACTACAGTTACAAGTTTTCAATCTTTGTCAGAAACATCAAATTTTACCATTAAATTTTCGTGACGTGTTTTAATGTTACCTCAATCACTATATGCTAATATACCACAATGAAACTGTATACTTCGCTACTGATTAAATTTTCCAAAATGAGTTGTTTCTTAATAGTCATCTAGACTCGACTTTAAAAATCTTCTAGAATTCACAACAAAAGAGTTCTACTATGAGTATAGTAGGAAAATCTTCAGTTCAACTGATGGCCTAGCTATGGGAAAGCATCCATTTTTTTAAATGTATTCATGACACACCAGGAAACAGTCAGTTTATTGATTGTTCAACAGATTTCAGATATTTGTTTTGCACACCTTATGTTGACGACGTATTTTCCATAATTGTTTTCAGGCTCACCTGTTTTTGCTGACTATCTAAATTCAAAAGGTTCAGTCATTACACTTACACGCGAACTTGAAAAACAAATTACATTCCCATTCCTGGTTACGTTATTTACTAGGTTTAGCTAAGGATTTTACTACTGACTGCTATCATAAGCACAGATTTACCGGCTTATTCTGAAATGTTCAGTTTTTGTTCCTGTATTATTTAAACGAAATCTTATAACTGTCTTAATAACTAGAGAAGTTGTAGAATTGGCAATTCTGCTTTTGTTTTCAACTTTATTATTGTTGTTGTGAAAAGTTACACAATGGGATGTATATCTGTACTCTTGGGAATCAGACTTCAGAATTTTGCGTTTTAAGACCATAGACTTACCACTAACTCACGGGGAGGGATGGTATGCTTTATTGACTGGAGCTAATCTTTCAGAATTTGGTTAGGGAGTTTATACAATGAATTTGCTGAGTAATTTACGAAATCGATAACGAATATTGATATTGTTTATTTTCATAAATATATATTTCGTTATTGACACAAATGTACAACAACGTCAACAAACAATGAGCAAAGTTTCACAAATAAGAGTGGGAATAATAATATACGATTAAAAATTAAAAAGGAAAATTTGTACCAACCAAAAAGCGCTTTAATTCGAGCTATTTATATTAATAGTTTCATTGCAACTTGGATCTTGATATTATTTTATCGCTGTATTGTATCTTTTAGGCCCTTAAGTGTTGTTCAAGTTCGCCTATTTTTAATTAATTTTTTCTCCTCTAGCTAATGGTCGTTTAAAACTGAGAATTTACCCTAGATGTTTAATTCTAATACCGAGTTCTAACAATATAATATCAACAAAATTATAAATAAGCAGTTTCAGTTTCAAAGACCCTTCACAACCGTCGAAGTAATCACGATTAAACTTCATTCAATAATAAACTAACATTGAGTTTGTATACCATAATAATATCAGTAGGTAAGCAAATCTGTGTCGACAGTCATCACAAAAAAGTGAGACAGAAATAATATTGAAAGTAATGAAAAAAAATTGTGAATTCTTCTTCTTTACCGGTACCGAGAAATTGTTGTACCTGCTTTGGCCTACCAAGACTCCATTATTATTCTTGATATCCAGTTTTAAAAGGAAAGATTACAAAAAAATTCATTTGAAAAATAAGATTTAGAGGGTTCCATTTAAACCCCACCACCACACACACCCTATTTATTGAAAAACATATGGTGTAAAACCTATGATTTTCAACTGCAATATACGAGTATATGATAATAAATAATTATTTTTGATATGCAGGCAAATACCGTTTGTTTGTTGTAGCGCAAATCTACACAATAGGCCATCTGCCCTCTGTCAATCACGAAGAATTGAACCTCGGATTTTAGCATTGTAAATTCGTTAAATTACTGCTGATCTATTGTTGGGCAGTAAATACTAAAATATAAATATCTGTTTGACTTGTTGATTTAGAAATAAAGAAGACCGTGTCAAAATCTTCGAACAAGAAAGAACAAGTCAACATGCAAACTGTGAAACATAAACAAGTAGCCATTCTTTGTCTTATACTGCCGAAACGTTGAAAACTTCGTACAAATTAAAAAAAACAACACTTGAATCATTTTTCGAAAATAACTTGAAGTTAAAAACTATATTTAAGATCAAAGATAAGATAAGAAAAATGCAGTACTCATTTGTCATCTGAAGTTATAGATATCAGTCTTGCCAGGCACGATACGTCGATAATTCAAAACGCCAATTACTAAAACGTGCGCATTTTGTAATGGTCCAATTGTATCTAACGATTTTCGAGTTATCTCTTCAGCCTATAGTAAGCAAAAGTTAAGAATATCTTGCCATTAAGGATCTGAATATATATATATATATATATATATCTTCCTTCAAGAAAATGTAAAGGAGCTTCTTTTCAAACTGTGAGGCTTTGCGATAAGATTTATTATGGACCAAAAGGTAAAGATAAGACTGTTTCATTATATCTTACCAAGCCTAAAGTTTCTAGTTTTTAAATAATGTATAGTTGCTTTTCATGGTATTATGTCTTGTAGAATGTAGTATGAAAATGGACTTATTGCAAAAATGTTAATATATTAATTGAAGCAAACATACATTTGATGTTATGCGAGTTTATACAGCTGATACGAATATGTGGTTCAATTTTCCTATACATATAACGCACTAATTAGTAAAGAACTCTCCGATTCTCAGCTGCAGTAAAGATGTATGTAAAATGTAAATAATAAATAAATTTTGGTGTACAAGAAAACACTGACACACAAATATTTGACAATGTTATCAAAATGGTTCACTAAAATGTCAAGGAATTCGAAAATACAGAAAACATTGCTAAAGAAGGGATACCAAAAAGGCAATAAAATGCTATTTACATGCTATAAGTTTCATAGCACTTCAAATTTATATTATTAAGTTAATATTGTCATTATTTTTTATATTGAATGCTCTACTGGCTAGCAAATATTTTATACTACAGACATATTTATAGACATTTTAGACCTAAAATAGAATAATGCATATTTTTATACCTTAAACTAGAGTCCAGCCTTTAGCTGTAATCATATATATCTTATTAGAGTCGTAGGCTTACTATATACTTAATTATATATTTATAATTTACATACGTTTAGGTAATGTTTTCTTCATTTTTATCGCCTAGTACTAAATGCATATTTATGCAATACACCAAGTAAGGAAATTGTAATTTTAATAACAGTACCTTCATAGGCGGTTATGATCCTGATGTACGAACCTGGGGAGAAATGGTTGCCACGAAAACAACTTTTGTATACGAACTTGCCAGCAAGAATTGGACCAGAATGGGGGACATGCGTTGTGCACGATCTCACCATAGCCTATTAGTTTTTAATGATGTTTTGTATGCTATTGGAGGAAGAGATGACATTGGCAGGTATTTTTCTTTTTGTTAAACAGATGAAATTAGTAAACGTTTGAATACAGTGAAGTATGAAAGAGAGAAAATCCTTTGAAGAAATTTTCTTCTTAGTATTTTACTGCTAAATAATATTTCTGGGGTAATTTACAACCTAAACATAATTCTTATTTAATCAATTATATTGCTGTAATAGAATCAAATAACAGTGTCAGATTTTGAAAAACAATATTATATGTACAAGTTCTTCTTTTTGTCAATTGTCGAAATAAATAGCTTTTACTTATATTTCTTAATAGTATAAACATATACTATGTTGTTGTTGGGCTTAGGATTCTTCTACAGTAGGTATCTCTGACTTGTTAGCTATAAATTCAACGATGAATGAACAGCACACACTTTACTTGTTTTCAAATAATATATATATATATTCCGAACACGTTGAACATATGTACAAAAAAGTCTTCACTCTATAGAGATTACAGGCATATCATAAACACTATTTATGTATAGTTCTCTTCTTCTTCTTGTCAAAAGTCCACTTAGGACTGACTATTCAGTTACTTTAGAATTTCAGTTGACAAGTTGAATTATCTTCTCTATATTACTATCACACTAGTATTCGGTGTGTGATTCACTTACAAGTTACAGTTGTGGCGAAAGTTACCGTAATTCGTTTGGTTTTCTGAAGATCCTCTGTTCCTTTTGTCAAAGTGTACCCAGGCTGATTCAATTACTTTAGAACCACGCTTTGAGGGAATAAAATTATCCTTCTTATCTTTTTTTATACTGTGAGTTTTGCTCTTAACATATTAAACGTTAGGCCTTAACTTCACACAACTATTATCTCTTTTGCTATTATCTATCTATTTTTGTCTGTCTGCTGCTTCCCGCTCGTCTCACGCTATTTATGTCTTTATTACATAGTCGTCTGGCCACTTTCTATATTCTCGACACCAATTAATTATTAACAAAACCTTTTACAATCGTCTGCTTTTAACTTTCATTATAACAAATCTTAAAAATAATAAAATATTTACTCACAAATATAAATTGATCACTATTATTTAAACCAAACAATCTTTTTATATCATGACCAAGAGTTTAACCAACACTGTTTGAATATTTCTTTAGTGAAAGATATTGTATGTTTTTATTTAAGACTGGTATCTTCTGTTGAGTCTTACGACCATGAATCGAATGAATGGACCATGGAAAAGTCCATGCCTTCACCACGAATGGGAATGGCAGCAGTTGCTCATGGAGGGTACATTTGGCTTCTGGGTGGACTTACGTCGATGACAACGGAAGAACCTCCAGTGTTGGATGATGTTCTTTGTTATGACCCAGTCTTCAAACAGTAAGAAAGTTGTATTTTAATAGCAAAGAAAACATTCTATGGAAAATAACTGGAAGAAAAAATTGATCACTAGTCCATGTGGTTTTATATCAATCAATACATTAAATAGAAGACCGGAACATATCAAATGTATGCACGTTATGATTAAGCGATAATGATTAATTTTTGTAGATCCGTTTGGGTCGTAGTAGGACTTTTGCTTATTACTTGGTTCAAAGTAACCTTGTATGCGATGCATTAACACTGTGTTGAAAGAGAGGTTTATTTAATTAGGGTTTATTTAACGAAAGTCCTAGTGTGAAATACGCACTAGAAATGTTGTAAGCAAAATTACATATTATATAAAGATATATTTACAACAACTATATTTTTTATCATCTAAACCAATTAGACTAATTTCTGATACTATCTTACATTTTTGATATATTGTGCGTGTGTGTTTTATAGCAAAGCCTCATCTGGCTGTCTGCTGTGCCCACCGAGGTAATAAAACCCTTGATATTAGTGTTGTAAATCCATAGGCTTACCACTGTCCCGTCGGGGTGACTGATATATTGTGTGTTTATAATTTCTATATTATGTGCAATGTGATAACAAAGTTATGAATTATTATATTAGTCTGTATAGTTGTAGCATATTTGTATAGATTATGTAATAACGATGTGAAAAAAAAAATGTTTTAAATCGTACACATTTTTTTTTTTGCTATGCACAAATTAGTGAATATATACAAATAATTGTAATAAAGCTTTAATCATTTAATGGCATTTTAAAGCTGCCAGAAAGTTATGTTTGTCACAATACTCAATTAACATTGTAAATTGCGTTTCTTACTAGTCAAGTCCTAACGATACAAAATTAATTTTTGCTTTTGGTCAACTTCAAGAAAAATGACGTTTTTTACCAAGCCTAACGCTTTATATTGGGCCTTAATTTTGAAATAAATCTTACGAAATGACACAAAAACTTAACACTTGATTGAAAACTATTAAATGAAATGCTACGCCATATTGCCATCTAACAATAACAAATCACAAACAAACAATGTAAATTTGATTCACTTTGATTACACAATACTCTAGACAGAAATATTGATATAGTTTTGATGTTTAGAGAGGCGGTTCCAAGAATACTTCTATTATTATTATTCTATACAGTTGGGTAGATGGCCGGCCATTGAGAATTGGCAGGGCTTTTGGGAATGCTGCTGTGTGTGACAACAAAATCTGGTTGTGTGGAGGCGCAGCTCCTTCTACAGATGAAAATAACTATCTTGTAAGTGTACCAGCTATAGATGTGTATGACGAAGAAACTATGGAATGGAAACAAAAAACTTCATTAGGATGTCCTCGACATTCTGCGATAGTTGTTGCATTAGGTAAGGAAATTTACTTTAAACCACTGTTTTTTTATATTAAGTATAGAACAGAGAATCAGAAAAGAATGGATATATCTTTTTATTGAAAATAGGCAAAGAATGCGTATTATGTAATACCAGCGTATTTAAATATATTGGAAATATAGTTTAGAAAACGACCTTTCCTCTACTTATTTTACCTGTTTCAAGGGAAAGTCTTTCTAGGTAAATGTTTTGTTTAAGTAAAGCACTTCTTTCCAGTATAGACATAGTGTTGATAATATATTATAAGATGTGTACAATCCAACTGAAGACCCATTTTTACGCCACAAATTTTGTTAACAGTGATAGAGTTATGTGGCTTCTTTTTTATAATAATAACATTTTAAGTAAAAATAAATACAAAGCACACCTTGATAATGTCGACATAGGAAGTTTGATGTGATGTTTCCTTTATTTACTACCCCGTATACCATGACGGCTTTTTATCAATCATTTAACCGTGTAATTTCCCTATCTTTTATAGTTTCACTCAAGATAGAGTATCCACCCATTCAACAGAACTCGTCTAAAATGATGTTGTTGTTTTTTTCAGAATCCTGTCTTTACATTGCTGGCGGGGTTAATAGCCACGAACTGAGCGCTACTAGTCGAAATGAACTCTATATGGTAGATAATGACACCATTCAAACTGTCAGGGAGTTGCCTATTCCCCTGACAGGAATGGCTGCTGTTACAATACCACCCAAATGTGTAACATTCCGAAGTGAAAGTCTAAGCATCATGATACGTCATAAAGTCACGCCGTAAGAGTACCATCTTCGAACGTCAAATGAAGATGACAATAAAAATTTTATTTTTGCATCTATTACTAAAAGAAAAATTATATATGTTTAAATCTTCAATGTAAAACCAGTTATCAAAAATTTTAAGTGTAAAACTAGTTTTGACAAAATCTAACGAAATAGACTTCGAAAAATCGACCTGTTATCTTAGGTAAATCTATCAGTGCATTACTTAATGTGTTACTTAAAGAGAAATTATACTGACGCACCTGTAGCAGTGCCTTACTTTCTAGAGAAAGTTTGTAACATTATCTTGCTAATAGTTTAATTTTAGATTGAAAAAGGCCTTACATGTATGATATACGTTGATATTAAAATGTAAAAGAAAGTTAACAATGTTAATACCTCATACCTCTGTATTTTTGCCCAAAAATAAAATTGATTTTTAAAGCGTATAAACGTAATTGTCATACTTACCGTTAGTGTTAAGTGAATACTTTTTAACGTAAGAATTTTTCGCCGCGAGATAGTGGCTCGTAGAATGGCTCTAAGTTTTTTTTTTTTTTTTAAGTACAAACTTTTAGCTCATAGCTTTATCTCTTGACAGATTTGATATCTAATTACAGCCGCGGCTATTGAGGATTCCCTCTTTATTTGTTATTTACCATAATAAAATCGAATACCAAATATCACTTCAAACAAAAATATTTTTGTTAAAACATTTCATTTACTTTCACGTTCTGACTTACTTTTTGTTTAATTGAATAAAGATCACTGTATTCTCTTATCGTGTAATAAACTTACAGATGTTTAATGTTAGCCCGACTAATCAATGTATTCATTTCTTGTTGCTATTTCAACACAAAGAATTGTTTATATTAATTAGTTGTATTAAAAGTGTTGATTAAAAAATCTGGTTTACCTAAAAAATAAATTTCTCCTCCTGGTCTACTAATTAATGTCAAAAAAGAATTTCCTATAGATTATTCTAGAGCCTCATGATTACTAATACAATATATTCTACATTGTTCATTTAAACAAATAGATAGAAATAGCAGAGTATCAGAACTGTAACTTAATACCTTTTAATAGTTTTGTGATTAACAAGAACCCATTAGATGCTGACCCTTAATGTTCAGTTTGCTGTAAAATCCAGTATGTTGTTATGTAATAATACGAGTAATACAGTCGACGAAATATATATTAAGGGTTACACAAATGTTTAAAAAAAAGAAAAAAAAACTGAATTTCGCCAGGTTTACTTAACATTAAGTAAAACAGTTGTTCGATAATTTCACATGTTAATGTTAGATAAACGACCTTATAACATCAAAATGTTGTTTTCATTTAATTAGACACTCAACGTTTCGCTTTACAGATTCTCCAGGAGTGTTTACTAAAACACAAACAAAAACTGACAGTACAAAGCTCTACACTACAGAAATTAAATAATTTCATACGTTACAAGATCTGTAATGATTATCTGTTATTAATAAAAATCGCAACAGAACTCAACAAGTATCTTCTTCATAGCGACTTTAATCCCAACTAGTCTGGAGTCGGCCGGTATTTTTATACGGCAAGAACTTTTACACCCGGATCATATGGTAACTATAGGACGAGTATGTTCGGCGACGGGTGTTTGAATTCATGACCCTCAAATTGGGAATCAAGCGCACTAGCCACCAGGCCCAGAATTTAACAAATAGCTAACCACGAACAAATGTTTAATAAATATACGTGCATAACTGTGTATTTAGTAATGGCAGGTTTTTGTTTGTTTATATATATAAAAGCAGGAAAGCCGCCCTAAGGGCGAATGTTCGTTTAGGAGTTTTCGCGAGCTGAACGGTGTGCTTCTATGACACGAAATTTCTCCTGACATCTAACAACATCTCGGTAGGCAATTTGATGTGCTCCTGTATTTCGGATTTGTTCCTGGCTTCTTCTCACTGGATCTTGTCTCATAACTTAGTGGGCAAGCCTATCTCTTTTTTTATTCTTTCTTTCTATAACTTGCATCCTGACGTTTCTTCCTCAAAGTTTTAGTTTTTCTCCGCAATGAGGTAACAAATGTTCTCAGTATGGTGAATGTAAAAAAATATGTTATACCAACCATCAAGAAGATAAGACGAGACAACATCCAGCGAGTCTTACTAGAGAGTCAAATAGAAAAGAAGACCAAGAACACAGTGGATAACAAATATTAAAGAGTTGACTGAGATAGTGAAATATGAATACCTGGTGAGAAAAGCATAGAACAGACAGAAGTGGAGGATTGTGACAGCCAACCTTCCTGAGGAAGACGACACATGATGATGAAGTCACTCTTTCGTTTGGCAATTCTTGGCATCGTTATTTTCGATGTTTTTGATCACCTACTCATACTGAAGTATAATAAGAGGGAATCCTCAATATCCGCTGCACTTATAATTCTTTTTTGGCAGAATTAGATTAAATTGATCTATGAGACCCTCTTTTTTTTTCCTTTTTATTGGCTATATTTTTGTGCGCCAGCAATATTGGTATTGGGGCGCACGTATGCCCGATTCGATTTAATTACTCATCAGGATCTCTACTAACCTACCGTCAAATTGAAATTATTTTAGGCGAATTAATCTATGAGACCTTGGGCGTGATCAAATACATCAATGGAAAGGGTTTGACCTCCTGAGTCCAAAACTGTAATTAGATCTCAAATCGGTCAAGAGATGAGGTAAATGTGTGTACTTGAAAAAAATATACTGAGCCATTCTATGAGCCGCTGTGCCGCAGCTTAAAACACTTGTGTAATTTCGAAGATCGATTTACTGCAAAATTCATACAAGTTTGTATGCAACGAACTCCTATGAAGGACTTATGATTCTTTCGATCACAGAACAATTCAATTCATAGAGTATGCTTTGATTCTCCACTAAGAAGACTTTTAAATTCTGCATTAAACTCACTTTACCACAATTTTAGAAGTTTATTAAAATATTATTTCATTGATAATAATAAATGTACACAATTTAAAAGGGAAGAAGTACCATTTCTACATTTGGGAAAAAATGAATTAAAAAATAATTTCCAAATTTTATTTTTTATTTTAGCGAGGGTCTATTTTATAACATTTTTCATTTCGGTGTGATATAAAGCTGTTATGAGTTATTTCTTTAAAACAAAGTGGACACATGCACTAAATAAACTTTTTTATAAGAGACCCAATTGTAATGAAACTTTGTTGAAAAATCGTGCGAAGTTTCATCCAAATTGTATTTTAATTGTGGAAGGAGTTTTGTGGAAAGACGGTTGGTTGGTTTTTCAGGGTTATTGGCGCAAAGCAACGTGGCTATCTGCACCAAACTACCGATATAAAAACAAAACGGAAACCATACAAAGTAAAAAGAAATCAAGTTAAAAGCTAAACAATGTCCAATAAGCAGATGAAAAACGTAAATATATTTAAAAAGGCCAATGGCCCGTAAAAAGCTAAAAACACAATCAAGTTATCGCCGATGACACCGTCTAACGTCAGGGATAAATCCTCACATTCGTAACGACGGCATAAAAGTAAAACGTGAGCAATTGTGATTTGAGTGTCTCAAAAGTCACACATTAGTGGATCAGTCTCACATAAAAGAAAACGATGAGTTAAAAAACTGTGACCAATGCGGAAATTAGACGGCAAAACAAAATCCATGGTTTGATCTGGAAAAGCTTGTTGAAGTTGCTTACCCCAAATCAACTGACGCAAAGCCGTGCCTTGATCACAGCACCAAAGTCAATATATGAAACAAGCATGGTTGTTACAGCTCCAGAGCAGACTGAATTAGCTATGGTGTCTCCAAGCTTATTCTCGCGAATACCAACATGACCAACTGGCTAGAAACAGGTGACTGAAGAAAGTGGGTTAGTTGTTTCTGAATATAAAAAAAACCAGGGTAAAAACTCACATTAAGGGATTCCAGGGCCAGCAGAGAGGTAAGAGAATCGGTGTACATAGTAAAGTTAGTGTACTGCTTAGCTTCTACGTGAACTAAGGCAAGAGCAATGGCACACAATTTTGAACCATTTGTAAAAATAGGAACAGAAGAATGGTTCAAAAGATGTTTGGCAAAAAGAATACGGTGCTTCCAATCGATAGTATTTGCCTTCCTCAGGTGACTCAAAGATAGGATGCTGTGATAAGGATCGAAACTTGATAGCATAAAAAAAGTTGCAAATGTCTGAGGTGAAGAGGAAGTCCATGAGACTCATTGTACTGGCGAAGTGCGGAAAGCCCCCATACAGAACCGAAGCTTTAGATGATGTACAGGGATCAACATCTTCAAGGCAAAGGCCCCTGGCAGATCCATAAGCCATAGACCCATATACCAGCTCGGAATGTATAAGGGCACAATAGATCTTCAACATGGAAGATAGATATGCTTCCCAAAAGGTGGAAGAGAGGACACGAGAGATATTCAGTGCCCATGTACACTTGACACAAAGCTGCTTATTGTGAGGAATAAAAGTCAGTTTGCAGTCAAACAGAAGCCCCAAGAACTTTGTCTCAGGAACCACAGGAATAACACCACCACGGAGACGGAGCTTAGGATCAAGGTGTAAGCCCTGTTGGTTTTAGAGGAAGAAAAGGTGAAACCGTTTGCTGTCCTCCACTTCAACAAGCAAGTGAGAGCAGTTTGAAGCTGTCTCACAATAAACCTCATGTTTGACGACCGATAAGAAATGTGGAAGTTGTTGACATAGAGGCCGTTTGCAACAGTAGGTGGAAGTTGTTGAGTGATAGCAATAATCTTAATACTGAAAAGTATGACACTCAAGACATAGCCCTGAGGGACTATACGTTCCTGTGTGAAGGATTGGAACAGGGTTAAACCGACACAGACTTGGAAACTCCAGTGGAGTAAAAAGTTATGAATAAAAAAGAGTAAATTGTTACACAGCCCATATGAATGGATGTCTTCTAAAATGCCAAACCTCCATGTAGAGTCATAAGCCTTCTCAAGATAAAAAAATACAGAAACAAGATGATCTATCTTGAGGAAGGCTTCCCTGATCGAAGTTTCGAGACGAATCAGGTGGTCGGCAATGGAGTGATGTCTTTAAAAACCACATTGGGTAGGCGTGAGGAAGTTGTTTGATTCAAGGAACCAAACAAAATGAGCATTAACCATCCTCTCCAAAACCTTAAAGAGACAATAATTAAAAGAAATACTGGGATCCCTCCCAGGCTTTGAGAATGGAAGAACAATAGCCCTGCACCACACATCTTTATTAAACATTCTCCTTCAAAATCTGGTTAAAACGACCAGAAGAAGACCAGGAGAGAGGTGCCAGAACATCTCAGAATGAATATCATCAGGTCCATCCAATGTACTGCCAGATTGATGAAGAGTGAGTTGAAGTTCCACCACTGTAAATGGATGATTATAATCGTAGAGATGATCAGCCTGACAGGAAAGTGCCAATC